TTTAAGATTGCGGTGCGCAACATATATGTCTTGGCCCTGTCCGAGAGTGGGAGGAAGACTGTGAGATGAACCGCCAGTTAGCGTAGTTTTTTGATACGTTCAACACGGCCGCGGTCGCGATCGTATTGTTGTGTTGTTCCGCTCAAAACTGAAACAGAGGCAGAGAAGGATGTTCCATGAGAACAAACAAAAGGAACCATAGAAGAACTAAAATTAGAAAATTCCTTCCATTTCCTACCATGCCATGTCATAATGAACGCGGTGAAGATAGGGAAAGCGCGAGAAATACGTCGTACGAATCGGGACGTGAGACTTGAATGCAAACAAAGAGTATACTGCGAACTAGTACATTGCAGCGACTGCAGCGGCCAAGGCATAACCTTAGCGCCCTGTCGCACACGTGAGTCACCACTACTGCGAGTGTTTGACCAGGAACGCTCCTACCTCACTCACGGCAGATAAAATTACCTCAAGAATACAGCCGTGGCCTATCCCTTAAAAATACTGACCTGGCCAGAAGTTTAAGAGAATGAAGGTAATAGAAATAAACACATTTCAATTGATGCATGACAGTTGTTCTCAGTCTCGCTTAAAAAAACATGGAGCCAAGTTCAACCATATGTTCTGCCGATTCAAAATATCCCACACCCCCTCCCTCCCCTCCCTTCTCAACAGGTCCACACGCCCTTTGCCGTAGCCAATACCAGGATGGAAAGGATTCCCATACGATTTTCCTCCCATTACCACCACAAACATTTGCTATAGTAATGGATTGTGAGACCCGGTGGCACACTCCATCCTCCTCCGAAAGGCTCTTTCAAACTGCGAGCAAGCGCTGGGCACAATGCTATTTAAAAGCAAATGTTATTTGTCTAGTATTTTCGGCCTTTCCATGAAAAATGGAGAGAACCCTTCAAAGCGCCCCTCTCCTGTACCACAACACGACTCCCTGTCTCCATCACTACGGTCCCTTCTGAATATCTCATGCACGCGCCCCTTTCATCACAAATATGCGAGAGCAGAAACTTGCCTCCCTTCAAGTGTCAAATGAGGCCATCCGCTCCCCGTGAGCTCGGTAGAACGGAAGGTTGGCCCAGAACGGAGCCCAAAACAATGAGTTATTTCGAGTTTGTTTCAACCAGTAGTCCAATCAGCTCTCTTGTAACGAACCATTATCACTACATGGAAGGAAAGCGAATCTTGTATTATTTTTCTTTTATTCACATTAAATATAAAGCAATAACACATCGCATAGTTCTTGCAAAGATGTGTGGAGATAGTAAAGATGACGCTGTCAGTTTTGTTTTTCCCTCACATATACCAAACCTCTTTGAAGGGATTATTTCGCCTCTTCAAATTGAACCTGAACAGCTGACCATTAGTCGCCATTATACATTTCCTGAACAGCTGACCATTACTCGCCATTATACTTTTCGGCCATTATAGATTTTCGGCGAAGGTGTAGGCCAGGAGATCCGCATGCGAGTTTGACTGGTTATTCTACTCATGCGCTGCGCAGAACGTCGCTATCTCCCTGCGTATGGTCTCCTGACCCACACCGTCTAGCAACGACTAACTTTAAGTCTGAATTCTCCCTGGGGAGGGCCGTAGTGTTCACTCCATGCACCTTCACATGTGCATCCTTCTGGTGCAGGAATATGATAGACTCCAAAATGATGCTTGTCATTTTCCGGGACCTCTCCGTTTGGCCTGCAAAGTGAGAATATCGCAATCATACACATTTCGAGAAGACGCAAACTTTCACCAGTTCATAGAACTCCAGAAGGCTCACTTGTATGTGAGGGTGATGTTCGACGTTTGATTGTAGTCCAGAATCCCTGTTGCGGGTCGAATTTTGAATAGATCGTTCCGCGTACATTTTATCTGGGATCATAAATTACTGAGCTACTGTGTTGTTTGTATGGTCACTAAAACTGGTACATTTTCTTCAACAGGGCCGAGAAATGAATAAAGGGAAATAGTCGATAACCCTCCTTGCCTTTCAATAGAAGAAGCTAGTGTTATTTTATGGGTCGATTTCGATTGCACACCTTGCAGTGAGTAACTTAAAGGGGTTTCACAATAAGGACGAGAGTCGAAGGAGAGGAAGCCTACTACCTAGTATAGAATTGGGCAGACCTCCTAGGGTTGCGGACCGACATTCTTATCGAAGGATATGCCCCGGCAATCTAGCATGGCCTTCGCCGCGGCCCAATTGGCGCGCTACTGGCCCGACACGCCCTCTCTCATGTCTTCTCGTGTCTGAGTCTTAGCCGTTCAGCAGAGAGCGTTAGCATTGAAGAGGGCAGGCGATGAGAGTTGCATCGATGCGCAGATCAACTGACAAGGAACGGGCCCCACCCTCGGGTTCTAAGCTATTTTTATCGGTATTCCCTTCTTTCATGCATCACTGGCCATCTTTCTTTAATGGGCTTCCTTTTCATCGTGAAGTCCACCTTAAAAGCAGCGATCATGATGGGCTGGGGATGGTGCTGGCGGTTTTGGTAATGTCGCCGATGGAGGGTCCTTAATAGGCTGCTCTAACCCAATCCCCGTCCACCACTGCGTTGACGATGAGGATTCTGATCTACCAAAAACGTTGAAGGATGTCATCACAGCCGCACCGCCTCTACCGTCGGGATCACTGTTTCAAACGCTGGGGGACGTAGAGGCACGTCGTGCCGTAAACCACGGTCTAGAGATTAATCCGAACTAGCAGATCGGATCCCACCAGGCCGATCGAAGCCTCCGTGACTTTTTCAAGCACGATTTCACCAGGTTCGTAAGGTAGGTCGCTCTAACATTGCCTACCTCCTCCATCGTCTCGAGACACCACCATTACGCTACCAGCCATTGTAGAAAATAATTTGCCCTAAATCGCCTGGTCTGCTCTCCCAGACTGTACTAGCGGAGGCTGACCTTGCTATTCTGCTTTTTCGCTAGTAGTTCAAAATTCATTTTTGGACCCTGCCAGATTCCTCCTTGAAGCATGTCAATGAAGTCTCACTTTGAATGCCTGCTTCATGTCACTCTTGTTAGTAATCTTCAGATGTGTCTTGATTTCACTGTTAAAGTCGCCGACAAAACGTATCTGCAAATAATTTGTCAGCTCTACCTCATGGATTGGGTAGT